GATCATCCACTGTGATACTGTCATTCTTTATTCATTTCAAAGAAAATGGTCATGAATATATGAATGAAGATAAATTTTGCTTCGTATTATTGCAAATTAGCATAAATTAACATTTTGTAGAGACTCAAAAAATCTAATCACGAGAGAACATTAAAGTTTATATTACTTGTGATGAACCTGTGGGTGGGTGTGCCGTGGGTGGGTGCGAGAGACACTGTCAGACTACCACACTGGCAAGATACGGGTGCACAATCCCATATCGCCTGGATAGAGGGAAGGTGAAGTGCTTATATGTAAGTGTGTCATTTCTAATTGGTATGAGGCTTTTTAGGGTGAAGCCCAAAAGAACATTAAAGTTTATGGGTTAGTACGTTGCAACATACATAGTTCAAAATTGATATCAAAGCAAACTAAAAAGAGCCAAAAATTCAATGATCATCTGTATGAACCAAGAATGTAGCATATCGAATGAATTTTGCTCCATTTCTCATCAAATGGAATTAAAAAGTGTTCCATTATTCTCAGGAAGATATATCACCAGTACTCTAAATTTGTCCTCTTGTGCTTCACTTATTCGTCTTACTGAAGACAAATGACAAAATTGCACTTCCTCTTGTCAGTGACCCTTAAGTTGCCGACGGTGAAAGTGGAGCAAGAGAATTGAACTGATAATCAGTGACCATCAAAACCGTCAATTTATTTTCAAGACCATGAGAATTGGAGTGAGAGAGAGAGAGGAACATGAATGACATTCACCCAGATTAGTTCTTATTGTGGTCATAATTTCATTATACATGTCCTTTAACTTGTCAATATATATATATATATATATATATAACTTATTTCTTTTTCATACCCACCATATCAAATCTCTGAGAAGTGATAACCTATCATAGGTTTCTCCAAATCTATAAAAGAAAATATGCTCGCTAAAATTTTCTGCTAGTCATTGTAGTAAGTAAATAGCTTCTAATGTTGACCTGATTGGCATATGATAGATGGAATGGGTAGCTTGTGTTCTGGTTTCGACTCCATTATTTTTTTGGTGAATCAATATGGGAAAATGGTGAATGGTTCCAAAAGGAAGCCCTAATTTTCCTTATCAGTCCCTCGCAAGGCCTTGGGAACAAAAGGTTGAGTGTTGGAGACCTGTTTGTTTGAACTTTCAAAAAAAAAATCACAAACGAAACAAAAAATCGAAGTAAAATTCTAAAAAATAGGAACTTTTACAATGAATGCGTGTTTGTTTCAACTCTCAAAAAAAAAAAAAAAAAAAATCACAACCCAAAAAAATTCGAAGGAAAAATCTCAAAAATTAGAGCATTTACCTCACACAATTTCAAACTCTATCCTGCAAGCAATAAGAGTGTTTCAACTTCCGCTCTCAAATTGTTTGATCACATCGACAAAGAAGGATTATCTTAAAGTGCATACACACCCAATTTTCATATTTACATGATAAATACCCTTACAGAATAGTCTCTCAATTCGCAACAGAACAGAAGGGAAAACAGAAAATGGGATTTGTACACAACGGTGATGGATTCAATCACGGAGTACAGTGGGCTATCGCCGACGGGGTTCTTCACCATCGCAATGTTCGTAGCCGCCGGGAATGTTCGTAGACATTACGGAGGACCAATTGAGGGCCTATGACGGTTCTGATTCCATCAACCCCTTGTTGATGGCCATTAAAGGGCAAATTTACAGTTCTGATTCCAACAACCCCGCAATCAACACCCCAATTCACAAAATCGGACCATGTAATCGACAATCCAGAACTGTAAATTCGCACTATTGCTGCAAACAACTATCCACCATCATCACAAATAGTCACAAACATACTTGCAACAACACCACAGCCCTGCAAATCAAACCCAAACTCGGCAACGAGACCCACAAACCCGCAAGACCCAACAAATCTCGCCGGAGACGAATCCCAATCGGAATCGGACTCAAACCATGGCGCCGGAATTCGACGGCGACCCACAAACCCGCCGGATTTTGACACCCACTTCACCCGACAGACCCAATCAACCGTGGCTCGAGAAGAATCCCGAACCTGGTATTGCACCCCGTCGCCGGAATTGGACACCCACTGTACCGTGGAAGAGAAGAACAGAAAGGTGAGGGACGCTGATGAAGAGATTGAGAGTGGAGGTTGGGTTTAGGGGCTGATCGTGGATGACCCTTAATCAGGGATGAGAAAGATGAAGAGGAATGGAAAAAGGAAAGATCGGCAACGTTGCGGAGAACAGGAAAGATCAGTGAGTAGATTTTTTTGGTGACCAAAATTAAACATAACCTCAGAGGTGAATAGTGATCAACTTAATTAATATTAAGGAATTATTTGATGGTTTATTACTTAAATAACTTTCTTATAATATATTATTATGTAAGTAGCAAATTTACCCTCTACATTAATCTAAATAAATATTTACTTAAATTGATTAACAAAAAGATAAAAAATTATTAGAGTGAGTCTCTGAAGAGAAGATCAAGATGGGAAAGAACTGATGATAGATATTATACATTATTTTCTTCAAGATTCTAAAAGACATGACGAGAAAATTGTAAATTTTCTTCTTATTCATTATTTTCAAGGTATAGTTATTATACTTTACGAGTTCATTTGTCTGAGAGATCTTCCTTAAGATATAAGATTGTAATTTTTAGGAATTTTTAATACTACTTAGTTATAGTTCAAGAAATAATAACTATTGTTGATTAATTTCATAATTTTACTAACTGTTAAAGGATGTTTCAAAAGTATGATTTGGCACTGTAAATGTTATGAGCGCTCATGTTGGAGAACCTTGAAAAATAAATAAATGGTGGACAAGAGAAAATGTTGATAAAAAAATTTTAATTTTTTAAATTGGTAAATTGTAAACTAAAAAGGAAAATATTAGATGGTTGAGAGCCTTGAAAAATAAATAAAGGGTGAAAAAAAGATAATGTTGGTAAAAAAATCTTAATTTTTTAAATTGGTAAATTATAAACTAAAAAGGAAAAAAAGAAAACGTTGGATGAGAGAGAGAGAGTAGGAGGAGGATGAATTTAATGACTTATTATTTATATTGTATGGCAATTTTGTCATCTAAAATTTATTTTTAAAATGTTTATTAAACTTTTAAGTGTTTTTGACCAAATTATCCTTAAATGGTCACTTAATATCAATTAAGTTTCAAGATTGGTCACTATTCACCTTTTCTTAACTTTAAGGTCACTATATAGCAATTATATTTAATTTTGATCACCAAAATATAATTTGTCCTTTTTTTTTTTTTTTGTTCATTAAGGCGATGTTGGGAAGAACAGGAAAGATCAGTGAGTCAATTTAATTAAATTTTTTTTTTTTTTTTTTTTTCATCCAGGCAACGTTGGGAAGAATAGGAAAGATCAGTGAGTCGATTTTTTTTTTTTTTTCAGGCAACATTAGAAAGAATATCAACTGTATAAGTAAGTATAAGGGTGTGTTTGGGGTTTATAAAAAGGGTATGAATTTAATTGTTAAAATAAGGGGCATTAGTGTCTTTTTATAGTTATGAGGGCATTATGGTCATTAAAAATATAGTATGTGTCATGTGACCATCACGTGATCACTTTAACGGCAAGATCCGACCGGAACAGTGACAGATGGGGTGATTTGTAATTTTTTTGCATAGTTCAGAGGTTTTTTTTGTATGTTTGAGAGTTCAGGGTTAGTTGCAAGTTTTCTCATAATTCAGGAATTTTTTGCACTTAACCCTATATTATATATATATATATATATATATTACTCTAATTGGAAACGTCTATTTAATGGGCCATGGATCTGATTTTTCTAAAATTAATAATGAGCTGAGTTAATATTAAATCGAGTAATAATCTCGTGCCCACATATTGTGATCTTGCACACCATGTGTACAACATTTAGGACAATACCCGGGTCCTCTTCGAGGAAGTTCATCCTTCAATTTAGGTTAAAGGGCATAAAATTCCCCCGAACTGTCAGCCAAATTTCAAAAAAAAAAAAAAAAAAAAAAAAAACCCCAAACTATCTACTGTCCTATGAACTTTTTAAAAAGACAATTTCGAGGACAAAACCAAAAGTGGCCGGCACCGGAAGTCTCCAGAGTTATAAGATTACCATACTGTCCTTTAGTGGAACAACACTGTTGTATCATTTTAGTACATTAATGGAGACCGAGTGAAGCTCTGGATTTTGTTGTTGTCGTTGTTGCTTGTCCTTTCCCGGCAGCCATGGCTATTTTGTTTGTATGAATCTTCAGAATCTGGCGCCCGCCATGATTGAGATGTCCACCGTTTTTGGGTTTGAAAATTTAGGCAAAAAAAACTTTGTTTGGAGAATTGTTGGTGACGATGGGTTAGTGTGGTCTACATGCTACTTTTCTTTGCATGTTGATGATGACTTTGCATATTTGTTGGTTCAGGATATTCCATCCGTCACAGTTGTTCATTGATTTGAAGACAGTTTTCAGGTTTTGGTTTGCTTTATTTTGTGTAAGATTATGCTCTTGGTAGCCTAATATTGTTAGATTTTTTTCTCTCCAATAATTAGTGATTCCGCCATTCTCATCTTCTGAAAAATGAGTAAAAGAACAATTGAAAGAAATTTTTTTGCTTGTTAATATATATCCATCGGCTTCAGTTTTTTTAAAGAAATTGTATTGTTTGTTTATATATATATCCAGCTTTAGCAAGATGGTTTGTTATTTTTTTTTACATTATGCCCAACATATACATACATATATATATGGTTCGTTGATTACTCACAGATTGGGTTTTCAATTGGGGTTTTATTTGGTATGGGTAACAAGGGCAAATTTGTCATTTTGAAAGTGTAGCATAGGTCACGTCTGGTGTTTTTTTGCAATAAAATGGAATAGTTTAGGGAGAACTCTATAAAAATAGAGAGTTTTCTGGGAAGAGAGAGTAAAGTTTGGAGGGGTTTTATGCACTATACCTTATAATGACTGATAGTTTGGATTAGAATCACTCTCAAATCTCAATCTAATTCACTCATTTAACTTGTTATTTAACCATAAAAATATTTCAAATAATCTAGAACCTACATTCAATGGAGCACAGCATTGAAATACAATTTTTCTTAAATAAACAAATCAAGGATAGTTCCCCATAAAACAACACTCTCTCAAAACCTCATAAACTTGGTGCAAAAACAAATAGATATCACCGTAATAAATAGATATCACCGTAATAAAACAACAGATTTTTTTTTTTTTTTTTTATTTTATTTTTCTTTCTTAATTGGTATTCACACAGACATGGCTTCATACAGTGCAATCACGAAACTGTAGCCTAGTAGTTGAGGGCACCTTTCCTCGAAACATTTTATATACTCTCTTTTCTTTTATTCTACCACGACCAAACTTAGGAATCGACCATACACCATCGCCTTCATAAATCCGCAAATCACATCCAATTGTTATATTCTTAATAGCAATAGCACACTTCAGCAGATATACTATAAGCTTAGCTTCGTTTCGGATACCCCGAAAATTGTGTATCTCCACTTCCTTGAGATGCTTCAGACGACATAATTTCATCTTTTTCTTCAGAGTTTCAATTTTCACCAAGGGCGGAAGCTAAAAACAAACATAGAAAAAGAAAAAAAAAAAGATATTCATTACAATGCACCAACAAAGAAAACATGCACTTTTATCATTAAAAGTGCGTCTCATTATAGAATAAGCAGACTTCTCTTCATAGAACAAGACTAGTTATATTCCCATCAAGTCTTTACTTTTTCGTTTTTCTTAACATTTAAACAAGCATAAAATCTCTCACTCCAAGATAGACCCCATTTTCGCTTCCTCATATCATTTGCATTTTCAAGAAATTATGGAAAGAAACATCCAAAAATATTGTCTTCGTGGTCAACAAAGAAAGTGCATATTTTCTTATTTGGATAACAAGAAACCGAGATTTCCTTGAATTTAATTTTTACAGGGCCTATCCATACTGAGTCGAAGCCCCGATAAGATATTGCTTATAGTTCCTTGAATTTAAAATTTATTAAAGCTGTTTGTCTATGTTCTGAGGTTCACTCTTTTATGCTTCGTTTGGTTGGAGGGATGGAAAAATAGATAGAAGGATAGGGAAATACAAAGGAAGGAGGGATGAAGCATCCCTCCTTGCTTCCTCCCGCTTTTCCCTTCCCTCCAACTAAACACGAAAAAGTTAATTCATCCCCCCTTTCATCCATCCCTCCTCAATCCTTCCCTCCAACCAAACATAGCATTAATGTCAAATCAATGTTGTATATGCATCATATCATCTAGTGTGCATCATATATTTGTTTGAGTATTTAAGAATATTAATTCGCGTGCATAATTATAATTTTGCATTGCTATTCAAGAGTCCATAACAGGTGTTATGTATACACAATTCTTGTTATTCAATGGTGCTTAATACTCTTAACAGTTCTATCTAGAGTCCTTCTCCAGTGCTCATATGCGGTTCACGTGCTAGTGAGAAGGCTGCATGGTTATCTCTGTTATAGATATGCAGTTCATATACTTATCATAAAAAAAAGATATGCAGTTCATATGCTAGTGAGAAGGCTGCATGGTTATCTCTGTTATATTGCTGGCATAAGGGTCTGTTTTGCAGGTCTGGTTTTGAAATGGGCAAAAGTCAAAGTGTTATCAATTTGTTCCATCCGACGGCTGATATTAGAGCTTGAAGATATAAAGGCTAACAGGTGAAGAAAGGTTGTGGGTCATCTTAGAAGAGCAACGGGCAGATTATAAAAAGCTATCAATTTGCCTTCAGATTGAAGGGACCTAAATTTGGTGTTGCATTTGAAGTTTGAAAAAGTTGCTGGGATATAATTCTTATCTTGAAGCTAAGACTCTTGGGTCCACACATATTTGAAACCAATTAGCTGAAATATAGAGTAGTTAATGGGAGATGGTCAGTCTTCAGAATGAATTGACCAAAAGAATAGTAAACATGGGTTCATATAAGCACATTACAGATAGTTAGCATAAGAAGACTATTTTGTGTTCAGAATTCAAGTAACACAACTCCATTCATTCACCTTCCAACCATTTAACCTTAATGTGCTCAATGCATAGAAAAAGACTTACATGAAGCTCAAGTTTTTCCAGAAGAGGAGATGCCTTCAACAGTGAAGAGATCAGTTCCAAGGGGCTTTCTCGATGTGGTCCAATGAACACTAAAACCAAATGTTTGAGTTTAGCGAATGTTGGTAAATTCTTAGGTACCGTATCTTCCTGAAGAACAATGAGAGATTCATTAATAAACATAAATATTATCAATGTAGGACGACGACAAGATATGTCGAAAAATAATAAATAAATAAATAATAATGCTTTGAAATACCTCTATATCTCTTAAGGACAATAGCAAATATTCAAGCTGAGGAAATTCACTTGGAAGGCTTACATCCCGAAAATAAAAATCACTTAAAAGGTTGTCAGGGTCAGTAATGGGACGAAGGAATGCAACACCAAATAAAGGAATTTGAGTATAAACAGACAGCCTTGCAAGTTCTGCTTTATTCTTGTACAATAACCGGCTTAAATGAGTTCCACTATATTCAAACGATGCAAGATTTATGCCATCACAAATCTCAATCTCCATTAGATTTGGAAAAGCAGATACACTTAAGTGTCTTAACTTAAGAGAACGACATCCACCCGCAGAAAACTTAAAACGTGCTGGACCGAGGCAACCTGTCACACTAAACCACTCAAGGCATAAGCAATTGGATAAGATGTTCTGAACATCTTCTTCAGTCAGACTAGTATTCTCCATAGTCAAGGATGTGAGGGAGCCGAAACAAGTAAAATTTTGAGGAAGACTCAACTTAAAAAGGCTCAAAGACAGGCATTTTAAGGTTGATCCATTATCCTGCATAAATACCCAATAAGGAAATGTATAGAGCTCTTGTTCATTTTTTAAAGACCAATTGTTTTTGGACAACCTTATATCAAGATTCTGAACTTTCTTATCCGTGGCAAATTGAATCCATTTTTCAATGTCAGAACTGTACTTTACACCCAAAGAATACTTCACCCTGAATGATTCTATACTTGCACCACAATGTAGTGATAAAATTTGATTGACCCATCTCACAAAGCTATGCTTTTTCCGCTGTCCAGAGGTGGCATCTCGATTTTTCAGTTGGTGCATTTGACCATCATTACCACTCATGGTTGTAACATCAAAAACAAGGTTTAAATATGTTCCCCACAAGTATCTCCATCTTCTTGAAAGAATGCTGGTTCTGACGGCCTCTCTCATAGTCAGCCGTGATATGATAGAACACAGAATTTCCTCTGGCAACTTACTAATTCGATCATCCACTGTAATACTGTCATTCTTTATTCATTACAAAGAAAATGGTCATGAATATATGAAGGAAGATAAATTTTGCTTCCTATTATTGCAAAGTAGCATAAATGAAAATATTGTAGGGCTAAATAAACCTAATCACAAGAAAGCCTAAAAGTTTATATTACTCACTTCAACAGTAATAATATTTGACGTGGATTTCCTCCTCTTTCTACTGCAAATCACATCCCTTGAAATTCGATCCTCCATAATCTTGTCGTCAATCTATAAATTCCAAATGAAGCTCTATTAAAGATGAATCAGATAAATCAAGTTAACCAATCGCAAATAATTTAATTTTCATTTGTACTATCTCTTGGAAAAACCAATAGAAGAAACTCAACTTCGGATAGGATAGGCAACTTAAATGTAATTTAATTTTCTAAGAGACCGTATGGGATTGCTTCTCCACCACTAAAAAGTGCTTTCATTTAAAAAAATGAAATGAGATAAAGTAGCTTTTAACATAGTTTTATGCAGCTTTCTACATGTACTATCTACATAGAACAGATTATTCAATAAAGTGAAAGAAAAAAAAAAAAAAAGTGATAATATGGGTGTCAGCTTATGGACTAGTAGATTACAACATATCTAGCTCAAAATTGATATCGAACCAAACTAAAAAAAGCCAAAAATTCAAGAATCATCTGTATACTCCAAGAATGTTGTATATAGAACGAATTTTGCTGTATTTCTCTTCAAATGGCAATTTAAAAAATATGTTCCATTATTTTCAGGGGGACATATCACCAGCGCTCTAAGTTTGTCCTCACGTGCTTCATTTATTAATTTTATAGAAGGAAAATGACAAAATTGCCCTTCTTCTTGTCAGTGACGCATAAGTTGCTGGCGGTGAAATTGGAGCAAGATGATCGAGCTGATGATCAGAGCCAATCAGACCCATAAATTTATTTTCAAAACCATGAGAATTGGGAGAAAAATAGAAAGGGGGAGAGAGAGAGAGAGAGGAGCGTGCCTGTCATTCACCCAATGTGGTCATAATTTCATCATATATGTCCTTTAACATGTCAATATATATACTTATAAATTCTTTCCTTTTAACACCCACCATATCATACCTCTGATTAGTGATAACCGTAAATAGCTTCTAATGTTGACCTCATTGGCATAAACCTAATTTTAGTTTCACATCTTAGTCATTGTAGTAAGTTAATAGCTGCTAACGTTGACGTCATTGGCATATAACGGATGGAATGGATAGCCAGTGTTCTGGTTTCGTCTACTTTACTTTTTGATGAATCAATATGGTAAAAAAGTTAATGGGCCCAAAATGAATCCTTACATTTCCTTATTAGTCCCTCACGAGGCCTTGGGAATAAAAATCCAATCATTCTCCATCCACGGGCATAGGCAATTTGTTGAACCACGTAAATCTTGTTCTTTATGTGTGTTTACTTCCATCTTGTTTTTCCTTGTTGCCATTGATATTTGTTGTTTGAGATTTTGGGGGAATTTATTCCCAACATGAACATGGCTACAAAACCGAAGCGCAACCACCACCCTAGCCACAAGCCCACAAAACCCATGCAGTGTAGAAAGCCCAGACACCGGTACAATACGATAAGGACACAACAATAATAACATATGCATTCTAGGGGATGTCTCCACTTTTTCTTCTATTTTTTTATTTCTCCTCTTTTTGTTCTTCTCCTTCTTGCCTTCTACCTCATTGATTTTGCCTACTGTCTGATAGGAGAAGTGATTACAAAGCTTTAGGCAAAAACATATAAATATGCTTATGCTGTTGTTAGGTTTTTTAGCCCGTTTTTTATTTTTACACTGTTAGATTTATAAATTTGAGCTGAGTCCTATGGTTTTAAAAAATATATATATATATATTCACAAATTGAGGCAAATGTGTCATGACCGTGTCTTTGTGTAACCAGCCCTATATGTTACTTTTTAAAAAAATGTAGACAATTGTAGTCGTGACGGACATGTGTCTGACCGTGATCCCGACTAGTTTGTGTCCAACACCATCATTGTTTGATATTCAACTGAGTGTCTGTGCTTCGTATGAAGGTACCCTTTCCACCCTTTTTAACATTTAAACAAAACCTTACATATTCATCCTAATACTAACATCCATGCTCAAAGTTTCATAACACAAACAACAACACAGAAATCCCCATAGCTACCTAATCATCCTAGGTTGAATCACATCCAGACACATATTCTGTCTACATAAACAAGCATATATGTAAGTAAACGAACAATCACAGAAAACCGAAAAAACAATAAACAATCACAAATGGGCTCTAACCTTGATGATATAAGCTAGGGAGGTTTTGAGACCCAATGGGGACAAAATTATACAATTAGTATGTTTGCTTGAACTTTCAAAACAATTAAAATAATAAGCTGACAACAATTCGAAGTAAAAACATAAAAAATTGGAACTTTTACAGTGAATGTGTATTTACTTGAACTTCCAAAAAAAAAAAAAAAATTACAAACCAACAAAATTTGAAGGAAAAATATAAAAAATCCGAACTTTTACCTGGAGCGGTCGAGACACAATGGGGACAAAATTATACAGTGAGTATGTTTACTTCAACTTTCCCCAAAAAAAAATCACAAGCCACAAAAATTCGAATAAAAAATCTCAAAAATCGGAACTTTTACAGTGAATGTGCTTGAGCTTTTAAAATATAAATTAAAAATCACAACCCAAAAAAAAAAAAAAAAAAAATCGTAGGAAAAATATCAAAAATCAGAACTTTTACAAACAATAATAATAATAATAATAATAATAATACAACCCAAAAAATTTCGAAGGAAAGATCTAAAAAAATTCGAACTTTTACCTCATACAGTTTAAAACTATATCCAGCAAGCATTAGAGTCTGATCACATCGTCAAAGAATTATCTTTTCGAACTACATATACACCATATATATATATGTATATATAGATCTACATACCTTTCGCCGTGGAGAGATATTTTTCTGATGCAGATTATTAGGATCTCCAACCATCAGTGAGACGCCATCTTAGAGAGAGAGGGAGAGAGATTGGTGAATGACGAACTTGGAAGGTGGAGACTTGAGAGGAGTGTCCTAGTAGACTCCACAAGGTAATGGGCTAAATTTGACAGAACACTGGCATATGGGCCTTACAAATAGTTATTATTGGGTATGTAATGGGCCTAACTGAAAATGCTTATTTAATGAGCCATGGATCTGATTTTTCTAAAATGCATAATGAGCCGAGTTAATGTTAAATCCAGTTTTCATCTCTTGCACAGTGTCTACACCAAACATATTGACGGTTGCATACGGAGTATAACTGTGATATCCCCGGATTTTTTAATGCGGGTTGGCCAGGCCTACGCCCGAATACCCAAGGATATCAAAACAAATTGATAATAAACGAACACAGAGTATAAAAGAATAAAGAAGAATAAATAAAATGCTAACAAGAAACTAAAATGATAATCTAATAATAAATCTCAGAATATATTTCCATTAGTTAATAAACTCTTCTGATACAACTGATCCTTCAAAATACAACTCGGGAATCCATACTGTGTGGACCCCTTGAAAATCCAAACTAAACAAATGACAGCAATAACTGTCTAAATCAGGAAACTGAATCATAAAGGAACTCCTATCTAATATCGGAAGAATGAAGTAGACTGATCCTCGCTCAGCACGAACAACCTCTACTCTTAACGAACACTTGAAAAATAATGGTGGGTCAGGCCTACAAACAAGTTCTACTCTAATACAGTCCAAGCAGAGATCCGATACACGTATATATCCTAATCAATCCAACAGTAACTAGTAATCCGTATATATATATACACACACTAAAGGAACCTCACTAGATTATAGGGTTGTCTCAACCTGAATAGTAGGCAACATGCAAAACGCACATATAGTGGGCATGAGTACCTAGACCTACCAGGGTACACAACTACACTATATCTAGCTACACATCCCTGGCGATATACGCACCCTAACCACTGATCCTGAGATTCAAGTTCATATATCATGACACCATACTTATATATATATAATCTAGTAACCATCTTATTCAGTATAAATTAATCCTCCATAAGTCATTCAATTTGTTCAGCTGACCTGACTTGAATATAAGTAGAATTTAACATTTTAGTTAATCCATTCCCTTATATAATAAATTTCCTCCAGAAGTCATTCAACTTGTTCAGCTGACCTGACTTGAATATAAGTAGGACTTAACATTTTAGTTAATCCATTCCCTTATATAATAAATTAATCCTCCAGAAGTCATTCAACTTGTTCAGCTGACTTGACTTGAATATAAGTAAGACTTAACATTTTAGTTAATCCATTACCTTATATAAAATAGGTAGGACTTAACTGATAAGTTAATCCGTCCCTAAAATGCCACCGTCTCATACCGGTGCATTAAACCACACAATCCAACAATTGATGTAACAATTAAGGAAATACATCAAACAATCCAGAAATAACTATGATAATATGACGTCAAGTTATCACAAAGTAAGAATGACTTAATATTTATTTAAGCTTCTTATATCTTATGTCCTACATAAACTGAATCTTATACATGTTATGATATTTTATTATACCGTCAAATAAGCATTCTCCATATCCAGTTCATCCTACACATTTAATCTCAATTGCTAAAACATATTAAAAGATTAAATCCATTTGTTTGTTTAAAACATTAAAATAGCAAGCATCATTATGATTGAATCTATTTAAATTTATTTAAACCCAAACTTAGTTCCTATTTGATGTTCAGAAATCCTAGGCATGTTTTTACGTTCCATCATTCCACAGATATGAAAAATACATAATTTAAACATGTAAAAATTCACACCGAAAATCAAATCAAAATCATGCATTTATCAATTCATAACACAAGAACAGATATGAACCAATTTCATAAAACCTATGTTCTAATCCAATTAAACATGCATAATTATTTAATTTTATGTGTTTAATAAATCCTGAAATTTCCTAGGTATGTACAGAAATACGAATCAAAGGAAAGAGATAGAAGAAGAACTTGCCTTAAACTTTCAGATCGAAAGTTAAACTTCTTCTTCCTTGATCTTGGGTTTTTTTTCTCCTTCCCTCCTAACTCAGAGCTCTAGAATATATCACCTGAATATTTTTAACCCCCTTTTACAACCTATGACTATATATTTATAGGCTAAATAAAATAACACTAACCTTTTTTCCCAATCCAAGTCAACTTAAAAAAAATAAATATTAAAAAGGTAAGTAAAATATGTTACGTATATAATTTATGTATATCTTTATTAAATAAATAAATTATACACATCCCATTATTTATATCTTTATTAAATAAATAAATTATACACATCCCATTATTTATTAATGGATTATCCAATAATACTTAAGTTACCATAATCCAATAATATTTAAGTTACCATAATATTATAAAGTAACTTAAAACATAACGCGTATTAAATTTACGTATATTTTTATTATTTAAATATAAAACATATACATCAGATAAAATATTACTACCCAAGTTACCATAAAAGTAATTAATAAATTATTTTCTCTTTTATATATATATATATTAAAGAGGTAAGTAAAATATGTTACGTATATAATTTATGTATATGTTTATTAAATAAATAAATTATACACATTCCATTATTTATTAATGGATTATCCAATAATACTTAAGTTACCATAATATTATAAAAGTAACTTAAAACATAACACGTATCAAATCTATGTATATTTTTATTATTTAAATATAAAACATATACATCCGATTAAATATTACTACCCAAGTTACCATAAAAGTAATTAATAAATTACTTTCCTTTTATATATGTATATAATATATATCTATATATATACATACACTATCCAAGGGTAATAATCCATACACATCCAACCTCCTATCCAAGTAGTCCATGGGACCCAATTGATTAGCCTATTACTACTAACCATAACCATAAAAGAAAAATAAAATAAAATAATAAAAGAAAAAAAAAACATTTAATTTACAATTAATCAAAATACCATTTAAGTACATAATCTAATTAAACAATTAACACATAGACAAATACAAATAATACATAGACACATAATCAAATAATCAAGTAATACCTAATTCAATTAAACACATAAGTAATTAGTCAAATAATTAATTAAATAATTAAAAATATAATTACAACAAATAAATAAATACCGAGACTATCCTTTTAAAATTAAGGGTATTACAATAACCGTTAGAATGATTGTTATTATTATTATTATTTTTTCATTACTTGTTTATAATGGAACACGTTTTGTGCAGAATAATAACCTTTTTTAATGCATTTTTTACCTTCAACATAGTGAGTTATGCTTCGTTTGGTTGGAGGGATGGAAAAATGGATGGAAGAGATAGAGGGAGGGAGGGATGGATGGATGAGGAATCCTTAGGGAACGGAAGGTGTCTCCTCCATTTTTTGTTTGATTGAATGAAATGGATAGTAGAAATGATAGATGGGGTGATACTTTTTTTTATTTGGTTGGAAGGAAGGGAAAGAGATTTTTTATATTTTTTTACCAATATATCCTCACTGTATAAAATAATAAAAAGTAGATATCCATTTGAATTTTTTTTGAAAAGGTTAAAATTGGAAATTGCATATTGTTGGTAGTTATTTATTTTCTCTCTCCTCCCTTCCCCCCAAAATTGGGCGGATAAAAAAACATGCAGAAAGAAAGGATGAAGCATCCGTCCTTGCTTCCTCCCTCTCTTCCCTTCCCTCCAACCAAACACGAAAAGCCTCATCCATCCCTCCTCAATCCATCCCTCCAACCAAACCTAGCATTAATGATCATATCCAACTATCACTATGTTGAAGGGGCCCTGCCTAGGTGAGTTCCTGGTGCCAATAAAAATAAAAATAAAAATAAAAATAAAAACTATGTTGAAGGAACACATTTTGTGCATAATTGAAGAAACATTTTTTTTAAACAGCCAATTTTTAAACTAAAGTTGGCGAACTCTTAAATATTATATTTTTCTAAAATATGGTTGTTATTATTATTTTTTATTATTACTTTTTACAGTTGGATTATATTCAACTTTCACTATGCTTTAAATTATATTGAAACATATTTTGTGCATAATTGAAGAAATAATTTTTTAAAAAAAGAGAGTAATGGTTTAAACTCCGAAAGTAGGATGACTCTAACTGATTTATGTGAGTGCGGTGACTAATGTCATTAATATCCGTAACGTTGTAATGACATCGACCCCTAATTACATAAAATTAATTGAATTTGTTATTTGTGTGACTGTAAGATTATCAATTATTATTCTTATTTTTATACATTTTTTTCCCAAAGGTCACTAGAATCACTACATAAAATGGACATTGTTTTGTACACATTTAAAGGAACAATTTTTTTAAAATAACCAAAGTGCTTGAGTTTAGCTAATGTTTGCAAAGTCTTAGGTATCACATCTTCCTAAAACAAAAGGCTAAAATCATAAAAAAAAAATAAAATAAATAAAAAAGCCTGTTGTTTATAAAAACTTATTAAAAAAATCCTCTGAACAAAAAAAAAAAACTATCACGTTACCCATTTTCCGTTACAGAACCATTAAGTGACTGCAAAATGACAATAATTGTAACGACCTGTACCCGTGGGTCCGAACCTTTAGCCGGGTCCTTACCCGAACCCGAGGTCGACTAAGGGTACAACCGTCAATTTTATATGTCAACACGAAGCAAGAATCTCATCCATGAGTCTACAACCTTCCCAAGCCATGAACATCAATAAAGGGTCTCAATGCAGGGTGGAATAAGAGAATCAGCCAGCTGGCAGCCTTATGTCAGCCGGCTGATACTTAAGGTTCGGTCGGCTGACCTAAATGGTCGACCGACTGAAACGATGTACAAATGTGCATACTATCGGGACTTCCAAAGAATAGCCTTTCGGCTGACTAGAAGTTTGGGTTCAGCCGGCCAGAAGAGAAGGTTCGGTCGGCTAACGAAGTTCGCCAGCGAGCCGAAATGACACTCCAGAGACACAACTCTCTGGAATGCGCAAAATTGCACTATCGG